CACCGATAAACTTGAACCGCGAGCGCGCAAGGACGGATGCGACGACGGATTTATTCGGTGCGTTCCATTCCCGCCGGGCGTTATCTCACGACCTTAAAAGCGGCTAAACGATTCAATTTGTAGTAATTATAATGCAACTGTCGGGGAACCCGGTCCCGGACTCGGGCGTGCGCTTTTTTTCATTGGGATCACTTAAGACGCGACGCAGCGTTGCGCGTGTGGGCGTCATTCCCCGTCCACGATCGAGAGTGGTACTCCGTGCCGGACAATTTCCAGCTAATCTAAATGATATTGGACACGTCTGACACTAATAACTCTAGACAGCGGCCAAGACGACAACTATGATTTATTGAATTAATGATCGGCACAAATCTGTCGTAAATAACAAATTGATTTGTGACACCTGAAAGATTTATTTTATTCAGTGTTTCACTATTTTATTCAATATATGTAGAGTCATTATCTTATCAGCAAAGGATTTTATTAAATTTCGTGTACAAGCTGGCATACTGCAAGTAACTGGCTTAGGTAATGATCGAATTTTTATATTGATTTATAGCAAAAAAATGAAATAAAAATTAAAATATATAATAAAATACTTAAAAAATTACGCAAAATGAAATTACGATTTAAAAAATAAAATTATATTACAAATTTTATCTTTTCAAATCTTAAAATATTATAACTTAATTGTAATAAGTAAATAAATTGAGAGAATAAATGAGATCAGCCAAGGCGGATTTATTGCTTTAGAACGAGTGTTGCATCATTCTCTAAATTAATTCTAATAAACTTAATTATACATACTATAATAATATTTATACATATACAATCCTTTATCTATTTATATTATTACTTTTTTATATTGTTCAAATAATAATTTTATTTATTAATTGTAAACTCAAAATATGTAGATTCTTCAAAAATGTCGATTTTCGATAGTTCAAATAATTATACTTTTTTGAGCACGTCATATCGTACTTATTATTTTTTGTTAGTTCAAAGGATCAACTAAAAAAATTCTACGGGTTTTTGAATACTAAATTTAAAAATTTGAGAATTTTTTAATCCAAAGTAGTCATTTTTTGCAAATTTTTCCAACCAAATTTCTTTGAAGTGTTGTAATTAATTGAAGATAAAATATTATTTATTTTTTATTCATATTTATCTGTCTTTGTCTGACTTCGAGGTATAAATTTCACATGTTTGAGCTAAAAAAAATACATATTCAGTCCAGAGATATAGTGTGACAAAGTTACAGGATTTCACAAACTATTGTTTTTTATAAGGAAGATAATAAAAAAAAAAACAAATATCATACTAGGATTTCTCTAAAACGTGAATATAACGTACAGAATGTTTAAAAATTTCATGAGAAAATGAAATCTTTGTAAATGTCATGAGTTAGTTATTTTTCTATATTTTTTAAGCAAAAATTTTAATTGAGAAAAATTCCCAAAAATTGCCTAAAAATTTCAGTTTATGTAGTTTCTAAACAAAAATTTATTCAAAAATTTAAGAGTATAAAGAAATAAGAATTCATCCGCAGTAACTGGATATCAATTATAGACAGAATATGATTATGAAGCTTATTTATGAATCTTTAAAAAATTAATGGCCTTTTTCTGAAAATTTATTTAACAAAATTATCGCATTACAATAAATAATAATTTATAATTCTTTTACAAAATATATATCGTAATAATCAATTCGAATATAACAAACTCATTATAAACAACTATCGATTTTTCTCCATCAATTCCGAGCGTCTCATATTAGCGAGGAAGAAAGAAGGAAACAGAGAAACTTAATTATTTAATTATTCCATTAACCGAGTCCCGAATTGGAGATTCATATTCAGTATATGCTTTTATCGTAGATATTTTCTTAAGCTGACGGAGATTATGGATGGAGACGATCAGTGGTAAAGCGGTTTTAACGGCGGACCGGCCGCTTTCTTGCGCAAATAGCACTCATTAAAGGTGGCCTCACACCGATAAACTTGAACCGCGAGCGCGCAAGGACGGATGCGACGACGGATTTATTCGGTGCGTTCCATTCCCGCCGGGCGTTATCTCACGACCTTAAAAGCGGCTAAACGATTCAATTTGTAGTAATTATAATGCAACTGTCGGGGAACCCGGTCCCGGACTCGGGCGTGCGCTTTTTTTCATTGGGATCACTTAAGACGCGACGCAGCGTTGCGCGTGTGGGCGTCATTCCCCGTCCACGATCGAGAGTGGTACTCCGTGCCGGACAATTTCCAGCTAATCTAAATGATATTGGACACGTCTGACACTAATAACTCTAGACAGCGGCCAAGACGACAACTATGATTTATTGAATTAATGATCGGCACAAATCTGTCGTAAATAACAAATTGATTTGTGACACCTGAAAGATTTATTTTATTCAGTGTTTCACTATTTTATTCAATATATGTAGAGTCATTATCTTATCAGCAAAGGATTTTATTAAATTTCGTGTACAAGCTGGCATACTGCAAGTAACTGGCTTAGGTAATGATCGAATTTTTATATTGATTTATAGCAAAAAAATGAAATAAAAATTAAAATATATAATAAAATACTTAAAAAATTACGCAAAATGAAATTACGATTTAAAAAATAAAATTATATTACAAATTTTATCTTTTCAAATCTTAAAATATTATAACTTAATTGTAATAAGTAAATAAATTGAGAGAATAAATTAAATGTATACGTTGATTGCATCAATGTAATAGGTATACCCTAATTTATTCGAAGATTTTATAGAATTTTGTATCACATATTATATGCATTAGTACAAAATTATCTATATTGATAAAAATAAATCCTATTTAAATTTCGATCAGTATCGTTTAGTACATAAAGCAAAATAAATTAGTGTGGAAGATGTGAGAGTTGAACGTAATGAAATGCAACTCTGAGATGCATCTGTGAAATTTCGCAAATAGTAAAAGCCTACATATCGATGCACGTCATCATTCACCCCTCGTTTCCTTGGACTTGGCGAATTGTCGTTTCTTAAAATAGCTTTCCAGGAATAGTGAAGAATTTAGACCACCAATGCGCGGCTCTTGTCTCAATTAATGCTTAAACACTCGTCCACACGAAACCACCACCCACTACATTTATGTACTATATTTGCGCGTGAGACCGACTCGTTATCTTATAAGGAGAGTCGTGATAATGATCTTAATTTTTGCGTGACGTCAATGAAGATGAATTTAATGTCGAGAAATTACGCACAATGTTGCAATCGCGAAAATCCTCTTAATTGATAAACTTTCTTTTAACAAGTCGTAGAATAAATTGTGCCACTGCTTGATCATCGAATATGATCGAACGAATACTTATTTTTAGATAAACTACGAAATTATAATGCACAAAAAAAAACTTTCAAATATTATGGGTATAATTATAATTTATCTCAATATTTCACAGATTATCATGTTCTATACTAAATCCTTTCATTATATAAAAATAGTTATTCAAACTGAAATTTCTTTCTATATTTTTAATTTCTTATGTAGGTTATATAAATAAAGACAATAATATAATAAGCAAATAAAATTGAGCAATATTGTACAAACTAGAAATTTTAGAAATAGAGATCTCGAAATATAATCTTTCTCGCTCTCTCATTTTAATTAAACTTTGTAATTGTTTAATTATGTCCCTTGAATTTTTCTTAGACGTAGTTCAATTTAAACGACTGCAATAGCCCATCTTGTCATGTAACAAATGATAAATAAATTTCGTGGAATTTTCTCGCGTTAAACTTGAATGTAAAATATCCAATTTTTTAAGTATAAACATATGCAGTCTCTCATTTATGAATGAAAAGATTTATACATATTTACGTAATTCATGATTTATTACTATTATAAGTAAATTATTATTATACTATTTATTACTATCTAAAATTTATCTTTCTTCATCTTGACCAAGGTAAGTGCGTGCAAAGAGTTTATCCGGCGCGATCTGTTGCGGCTGGTGGTTTCACCTGCGGGAGACCCGAGCGTAATCTGCGAAAATCTAGGCATGCGCCCGCGTATACATACTGAAATCTGCCCGCATAGTGACTTGAGTTTCGCAGCAAAGTGGGGTCAATTGGAGACGAGGACCTCGGCCGCCTCGCTCCCACACTCCGCAGAAATTTATTCTGTAGGCCTAATCGAGGCCGACCGCTCCGACGACGTGACGAACCGCCAGAGAGGAACGACAACTCTCTTGCAAGGAGTTGCTCTCCTCTCCGAGATAGCGCGACATCTTATTATGAGAAAGAAAAAGAGATATTCCTCGATTCGAAAATAGACTTGTTTATCGATACGTCTTAAGTGGGTGTTCATTAAGGACCAATTAATATCAGTTGCGTGTTCGGCAGCATTAACGTTAAGAACGATTTATACTTTTGATCGTTTCGCTGGTAGTTTCTCGTTGATAATAATGTAGACATTATAAATGTAATTGCAAAAACACTTTTAAACTTTGTAATCACTTCTCTGCTGGATACTTCTACTGCCTGTAACTAGATTTTTTTTTTTCATTATCAAATACCTTTTATTTTTAATCATTAAAGTGTTTTCTTGTGGAAATGTACATTTATACTTAATTATTATTTATTTATTTTTTTGTTATATATTATAGCAGTTTATAAAAAATATGGTATCCGAATTTATTTTGGTTTATAAAGAAAGTAATTAATCAATGAAAATTTTTCGTCATTTTATAAACTTATGATTGTGCTGTGATATCATATAAGACTCAAAGACGTGACTTCTATATTTGAATAAATAAATACAAACAAATTATGCAATTTAATGTATAAATAAAATATTTTGCGTTCGAATTTTGATATAATTTTTTCTAACAAGATTAATAATATTGTGTTTTCAGTTCTAAGGTGGTACTGCATGATTCGATTTAATTCATAGGGTTCTCTTATCGAAGATATTGTACTTACGTATATATTGTATTTAATTTTTGTTTCAGAACGGAGTATTTTACCTGCTTCATTCGTGTGACGCGCTTGTGACGTGTAAGAAGGCATGTGGGAGAACTGCCCACGCTAGCACTATTCTTGGAGTTAATGCTACTTATGCCCAGCGAATGCGAAATATGCTTTTGTTGACCTGCCAGCGTACTGCTTGTCTTTCTTAAGCAGCGTCCACAGCGTCTCAGTGCAAGAGTAGCCAATATCTTGATTTATTACCGGCTTAAATTGACACGGCTTTGAATGAGGATTATGTTTAATAGAAATATTGTACAATCATCGAGTATATTGTAATATCGAAATATAATTTCATAAAATACGTTCTCCCAATCTATGCTGATCAAATTCTTATCGGAATTGTAGTGACTTCAATCTTGCTTTTATAATAACAAAAATTTCTTTTTCTCCCTTTTTTTCGGCACTTTCACAAAGCTTCCAAGATTCTCGTTTAATTAATTCTGATGCAGTCCATACGCAGTTATCATCGATCTCAATGGTACAGACCATGACCGCCGACTCAAGATGGCAAGAACTCCGACATAATCTTCGCCGCGATCGGTATAAGCCGTACATACACAGTAACCCTCGACGGAAAGCAACCCGCAACTGTTCGATCGCGGTATGCCATCGCTCACGCCGATCGCCAGCATTTTGCGCGCAATTAATTGGAGGAACGAGCGAGCAAGCGAAATTTTAATGATGATGGGAATCGAGCCGAACCCATAAATAATTATCGGAGCTGGTGAAAGAAGAGATGTCCGAATGCGGGCGCGTCGGTTGTTGCATAAAGTGCGTAAAACAGTACGTCGTCGGCGTTGCTCGGCAAAAGCTTCGAGGAAAAAAGCGACTGTTAACGACTGTGTTATAAATTATTGACAAGCGTATATATTCGCGTAGAGCGCGTATAGCAAAGAAGGCATTTATGATTCGCGAGCATGAGCGAGCTGCCGATCGCTGCCATTGCGTGTTGTTGACCGCGGTGGCTCTCGACGTCGCCGAGTGATTTAATCGCGTGCGTGGATGCACATAGGGTGTCACTTTCGAAGTAGTTCAATTAGAGATGGTATCGCGATGAAGTGCGAATGTTTACTATCAAAGATCGCGTGATATCCATATATAGAGCAAACACGACAGTGAATAATTGTATCTACTTCTTTTTTCATTATATGGAGCGAGACCTAATTGAGACGCCGAGAAAGAAGATGAGCGATGTTTAAAAAAATTAATTTTTTAATTACGCGTAATAAAAAGGTTTTATTTAAATGTTAACTCTTATTGTACAGCATTTATACATATCAATAATTTTTATTTTCTCGTCTTTCCTCTTCAACGTCTCTATTATAATTTTTCAAAAATGGAAAATATCGTACAGTGAAAAAAAATATCTTAATTTCTTTGAAAGTACAATATCTTATTTTCAAAGAAATTTCCATTGATCCAAAGAAATAATTTTTTTTAATACAAGCAAAGAGATATTTTTCTTTGAAATTAAGATATTTTTTTTCCGATGTATATAATTATATTTCATTAATTTTTTTTAATAATATTAAAACTATAATAACAATTTCATCATTTTAACATTCTTGTTATATTTCAGAAATTTTAAAGCGTGTGTCTTCTTAAATGAAATTAATGATATTTGAAAATTTTAAACTTTATCGACAATCTGATGATAATCGTGTAATAAAACAAATCTTTTCCTCCACTTATTAGAAAAATTTAATTACTTTTAATTACTACTAACAGTATTTTTTAATCAGTCATTCACCGCGTTATCTATCTCAGCACATTCATTAACACACTTCTAATATTAACATCTCATCATTTCATTTTACAAATTATCTATGCTTCAAAGTGGAAAGATATAAACGAGTTGACGTTTCCTCGACAAGCCTAAATGGACGGTATACGCTGTAAAAAGCGCAATAAAGATATTTAAAATGTCATTCTTATCTGGCAGTAAAATCGTTAGGCGGTGATTGACCGCGTTAATTTTCGGCGCGGCAGCTTGACCGATCGGCTTTCTTTATCGCCGAGCTCCTCTCTGCTTCTAAGATGAGCAGATGAGTGGAGAAGCACCCTGTATAACGTATACATTGTGCTCGTGGGCCTTGCACGGTGCGCAGCGGCCATTAACGCTTTTTGCTGGCGGCCGTGCGTGTGTCATTGACGGTGCTTTTATTGGCCGGGCGCATAACTTCCTTTAGCGTCGCTCGTTTATGGGCGAGTAATTGCACGACGATTTCGGTGCCGATGTGCGTACACACTCACAACGTCGAGGGCGGCGAAGGAGGACGGAAAAATATGGAGCACACCGATATAATGAGAACGCGCGGGTACCTCTTGATTATTGCGCGGCTGATGCTATCATTAAAACGATCTAAAAAATTTCTTTCAAATTGCGAGAATATTAAACTTGCATTATTCGCCGTCCACGAACGTAATTTCGTTAGCCGTAAAGAGAATGATCGTTGGACGATGACGAAGCTCGGTGTTCCGTGAATCCAATGCTTTCTCAACTAAATGAGTCTCTTTATCTGATTATGCGTAGATTTACGATAAAAAAATGTGTAAAAGTGGTCAGAACACGCAACGACGATTTTAATTTTTTAAATGAAATTGCCGATGTCGACGTCTCTGTGCATTGAGAATACGCGCTGTGCGTCCAGACGACCGTAAATGAGGGACGTGAGTATACGTGGGTGTTGTCGTTCTCTGGCCGATCGTAAGATAAATAAATTTCCATGGGACTCTCGTCGCGCCACGTAGATCGATATGAATAGATGACGAGACGGGATCGATTCATTCTTGCTGCGTCATCGTTCTTCGTTCAGTTTGTGCAATCTCTGGGGTTAAATTATCTCTATTTATCTAGACATACAGACAGCCTCAAAGAAATTTTTGCAAACAATAAAATGTACTTAATTTTCATGGCACAATTTCCATGTTTATTCAAAATGTGTAAATAAAATTAATGTCTATCGAAATAACTGTCCTACTTTTGCGTAATTTTAAATGCTTTTAACTTTAGATTTAGTTTGTTGTCCTCCAACTCGATCGTATGTATTGCAAGTAAATCGAAAAAGTAGAAGAAAAGGAGCGAGGGAAGTAAAGGAAGGAAGGAAGTTATGAGCACGTGCTCTATAATTTGGACTTAAATTATGTAGCACGTAAAACGATACAACGCCCGAAAACCAAACACGTCGAAAATGGATTTCGCGAAATCGTAAGCGATGTTTCTTCGCCAATATGAGTCATCCCTTTTATTACACAATATTCGCGCGTAAAGCATTTTTGGAATACGAGTGGTATTACATAAAGTTGAAAAATTAAAAACCTATCTAGAATCATTTATTATATTAGATGGGATTAAATATAAAAATAAAAATTTACCAATCTATATATAACTTTGTTCTATTGAAAGCATGATACACACAAGTTTTTTTAAATAATATTGAGTGATTTTTTTCAAAGCGAATCTTACGCATTGTAATGAGCGATTGCAAACATAAAAAATTCTCGGGAAAATAGCGAAAGATTTCCGCATGGCGAATCCCGGAATCTTCGTGCAAATGAGTCGCGTTTAGGGAGGGCTTATTTCTGGATCTCCCGAGAATATGTGACGCACCTCGGATGCATCGGTGATGGGTGTCGTTATTTCGGACGTGGAACCGCGATAGGGACTCCAGCTGGAGCAACCATAACATCGGCCCCGTTATTCGGTGCTAATGACGCTACACGGCTTGGATTTATGGTGTTGAGAGTTAAGGGTCTCTCGCGATTTCACGCGGTTTTCTCCCGGGGAACGAACGCTGAGTACGCCACTGTGTAAATTGAGCTTTCGCGGAAGCTTTCATAC